ATATATATATTAAACATTTTGAAAAAGAAAGAAATCTGATTTAGAAAATATATATATACAATAATTTTTAACTTACAGACACATCTGGTTTACAACTTGAAAACATTGGAAAATCGGGGTACGCACTAAAAAATAATTATATATATAAAGGGAATTAAATGTTATATCTATAAAAAAAAATATTCATGAAAGTATTCACAAAAATATAGACTCACTCATGAAGAGACTTTGCACAGAGTCCAAGAAATCTCCCAAATGTAGCCCCTACAACCATTGATGGGATAAAAATTCCTGCAGGAACCTATATATATAATACATAAATATTAAATATATAAATATTAAATATATAATATAAGAATAAATTGATAAAAAATTATGCATGAAATAAAATATTTGTTATAAATACCTTTGCACCATAAGATATTATAACAAAACCAGTCCTAAGAATATCTAGAATTTACAATATATATATATATTTTTTATAAGCTATATGAATATTATGATTAAACAAATTAAAAGTAAAGTATGAAGTTTGTTGAAATAATTATTACTTGCATAAACTCTCATAATCATAAGTTTTCTTTCCTTCACATTCTTCAAAAAGAACTCCCAAAAATTTTGTTGTTGGGAGATTGAGGAACAAGGTAAAAAAATAATAATAATTATCTATTTAATATATATATATATATTTTGGATTATTAAATATTTTTAAATATTTTAAATATTTTAAAGATGGTTCCTGTGAAGAATGGATTGATTGGTCAAGTCATTATGTAATAAGATGGTTTTGTTATGTAGTGTTCTCGGTAAGTTTTTATATGAAAAAAAATTTTAATTTATTATTCTTATAAAATAATAATATCTTTTTAATTCTTTTAATTCTTAAATTTTTTTTTTTTATTATAGACTTTATTTGCAACAATATGTGCCTATATGATACGATCTTATGCTCCGTATGCTGCAGGTTCTGGTATTTCAGAAATTAAATGTATTTTGGCTGGATTTGTGATGAAAGGTTTCTTGGGAGGGCGTACATTGCTATTTAAAAGCGTTTGTTTGGTAAGTGAATTTATTTATTTATTTTTATTTGTTAATCGATCTGTTAATTTATTTATTAACCGATATTAATTAAATGAGAAAATAAATGTTTATTTTTAGCCGTTAGCTATCGCTTCCGGATTAAGTGTAGGAAAGGAAGGTCCCTCTGTACATACGGCAGCTTGTGTAGGAAATGTCGTATCGAGATTATTCGGAAAATATACGAGGAATAAAGGTTCCCATTTTTATATATTTTTATGAATTCAAATTAAATGATTTTAAACAATATTTAATATTCGTTTGAATATTTATGTATTTTTCATGTTGCAGCAAAAATGCGTGAAATTCTCTCCGCTTCATGTGCAGCGGGTGTAGCCGTCGCATTTGGTTCTCCCATTGGAGGAGTTCTTTTTTCTTTTGAAGTAAATAGTTTCTTTTAAATTCATTATTATTATTATTATTATTATTATTCTCGCAATAAATCAATAAATTAAATTAAGTAAATAAAAATTATTCAGGAAATGAGTTACAATTTTCCAATGAAAACTATGTGGCGGAGCTTCTTTTGCGCTTTAGTAGCTACTGTCGTATTACAGGTATTATTTTTATTTTTATTTTTCCTTACATTGTTTTAACATTTGTTTATTATAATTTGGAATTACTGACTTTAAATTTTAAAGGGAATGAATCCTTTTCGAACAGGAAAACTTGTAATGTTTCAAGTTACTTATGATAGAGAATGGCACTTTTTTGAAATAATATTTTTCTGTATATTGGGAGTATTCGGCGTAATTATTTTTTATCTTAAATTAAAAATTTTTTATTATTAATTTCCTTTAATATTTTTTTATCAATTATTATTATTTTAACCTTTTACCAATTATTATTATTATTATAATTATGATTTATAGGGATTATATGGCGCATTAGTGATAAAAT